GGAAGTTCCAGAAGACTGGAAGAAAGCTAATATTGTACCAATATTTTAAAGAGGTAAATGGGATGACCCAGATAATTATAGACCTGTCAGTCTGATATCAATCCAGGCAAAACAGAGTGGCTGATGTGGGAAGGTAATATGATTAATCAACATGGGTTTATGGAAAATAGACCCTGTCAACCTAACGTGATACCTTTTTTTGATGCGATCACAAGTTTGGTTGATAAAGATAACAGTGTTGATGTAACAGACTCCTTGTGAGGCGTTTGCCTTCGTACCTCATGACATTTTGATTAAAAAACTAGAAAGCTATAAAATTAACTTGGCACATTTTCAATGAATTAAAAGCTGGCTCACGGATAGGTGTCAACATGTAACTGGAAGCCGGGAATCAGCCTTGCACAGTTGTATTTCTGGGAGGTCCCACAGGGATCATTGGCCCTACATTATTTAACATTTTTATTAGTGACCTGAAAGAAAACATACGTTGCTGATAAAATTTGCAGATGACACAAAAATTGGAGTGGTAAACAATGAAGAGAACAGGTCACTGAGAGAGAGCGAACTGGATCACTTGGTAAGCTGGGTGCAAGCAGACAGTAGGCATTTTGATATGGCTAAATGTAAATGTGTACATCTGGGAACAAAGAATGCAGGCCGTACTCCCAGGATGGGGGACTCTAGCCTGGGAAACAGTGACTCTGAAAAAGACTTTGGGCAGGGGGGCAATCAGTTGAACATGAGCTCCCAGAGCAATGCTTTGGCCAATAGGGCTAATGCAATCCTTGGATGCATCAACAGGGGAATCTTGAGTAGGAGCGGAGAGATTATTTATTTCCCCTCTGTATTTGGCACTGGTGTGACCACTGATGGATCCTGTGTCCGGTTCTGGTACCCACAATTCAGGAAGGGTGTTGATAAACTGGAGAGGGTTCAGAGAAGAACCACGAGAACGATTAAGAGATTAGAAAACCTGCCTTCCAGTGACAGACTCCAAGAGCCCAAACTATTTAGCTTAACTGTTGCCTGACCTATTGATTGTTTATTAATTATATTTATTACTTAAGAATTCCCCATTAACACTCTGAGGTTTGGTAGGTTCTTGTCTCCAGCTCAGGCCCAATATTATTAAAATGAAAGGTCAGTTGGGAACCCGGGTGTGCTTGGTTGCAATACTCGCACTCGTTTTATTAACACAACTGGTAAAATTGCAACATGCCAAGCCAGCAAGGTAGATCGAGATAATACAGAAAAGTGCATTTGAGCATCTATATACTCACACCATCCCTTGCTGAACAACCTGAAGTGTTAGTTATTATCCTCCTCGTCACCATCACCAGTGGTCGTAACCCTGGCACCTCCCAGGAGTTCCATCTCCCAAGGCACTCAGGCCAGGATACAACTTTTAAACGGTGTTACACAGATGCCACTATGCCTAATGTTCAGGAGGGGCTTCTCCCCTTTTCCTCGTTTGTATTTCCTAATGTGATTGGGGGCCCCTTCTCCCATAGACTACTAGCCTGTTTACCTCACGCTTATTAGCATATATGTCAATTAGTTACCGTCGGCACCCTTGTGGTCAGCCATCTGCTGATGTTCCTAACTTAAAATATCCCCCCAAGCTGATAGAAACTAGCATCTCGTGACTACCTGAGAGCAGTTTAGTCACCATAGTTTTCTGTCCTGCGAGATCTTCTGAGCCAGGGTCCCTCCTAAGGTTAGCTGTTCATGCTAACGTTTTGGGGGCCATATGCCTTGCTTAGTTTAGCTAAGCTATTGTCTTGGAGGCCCGTCTCACTGCGTTATTGCTTTAACTTGTACTCCTGCCTTACCTAGCAAACACCTACAGGCTACATAAAGAGAAGGTTAGGGGGAGGCTTGATCTCAGCCTACATGGGAAACAAATAGTTAATGACGGGCCCTTCAATCTAGCAGGGAAACGCCTACCACAACTCAAGGGCTGGAAGCTGAAGCTAGACGGATTCAGACTGGAAAGAGCGTACATTTTTAACAGTGAGTAATTACGCTTATCAAGGGCCATGGTGGATTCTCCGTCACCTACAGTTTTTAAATCCAGACGGGATGTTTTTTCTAAAAGCGCCACTCTAGGAATTATTTTGGGGCAGTTCTCTGGCCTGTGCTATCCAGCAGGTCAGGCGAGGTGATCCCAATAGTCCCTTCTGGCCTGGGGAATCTGAACTGTTGAGGATCTGGGCCCAAATGGGAACTGGTTTGATCTTTGCGATCAGATATCGCTTTGGAGCTCCACGATACCCCCCAGGCTCAGCAATGCGGTGTTTAAAACTCTCCCCAACTGACAGCTGCCCCTGGGATCTGTCAGAAAACATCCCCGAGACACGCCAGGGCAGTTCTCTCACGCCATTCCTTGCTGTAAAGAAATCCACAAGGTTGTAATGATGGAGCCCTAGTTAGAAATCTAGAATGACAATAAATAAATGCAACAGAGCCCTGTGGCACCTTATAGATTTCCAGATCCAGACTAACACGGCTACCCCTCTGATAATAAATAAATGGAGGCTCATGGCATGGACTGGTGGCTTTTGAAGAAATGGCTAGGCCCAGTTCCTCAAAGGTATTTAGGTACCTAACTCGCAGGAAATTGAGGGGAGTCAGGTGCCTGCAAGTGCCCACATCTGCACAGATCCCCTGCATTTTAGCATGTTTCCTTCACCCTATCATCAGTTCTCGCCTATGAGCCCTTGGATTTGTTGCACTCCTAGATGCAGTGTATATCCCCTTTCCATTGATGAAGTGGGCAAGTGGCGAACTAATGAATAAACTTGCAGTTTGTCTTGAGCAGTGCAAGACGGTCTATTCCTGAGGCACAACGCTGGGAGCTGGGGGGATTGGCTGGTGCCTTTCTCTGTGTGATTCATGAGTGGCTCTGGGAGCATTCATGCAATCTCTCCGGGTGAGGGCTCCATATGCGGTTGTGCTGAGTGATCACAGCGCCCGGAGGGGTTTGCTGCTTGTCACTAGCAAAACATTGTGAGAGACAGCCCAGGCTGGAGAGTTAAGGTGGCACAGTGGTCCCACAGTGCCAGGCTGCACCCCAGGGATCCTGTCACAAGACTATTGTCTCCCAAACAGTGTGAGAGTGGTAAAAACAAATCCATATAGCCATCAGGGAGCTGCTGGAGGGAGAATAGGGCAGAAGGTCCCAGCGACAGTAAAAATATGTCCACTAGCTGTAGTGCAGCTGGGGGGGAAGGGAAGCTGGGTCCTCTGCCTGTTGCAGAGGAAGTAAGCCAATCCACCACAGAAAAAGAGAAGCGGGAATGCCTCCCGCACAGACAGGCAGGGTTGATCAGGAGGAAGATGAGGAGTTGCACTGAGGGGCCAAAGCAGGAGTCGAGGGACGAGCTCGGTTCCAGTGAATGCAGCCTCATCCCAGGACTAGCTATTACCATCGAGAATCAAGCTGTGTAGCCCTTCCGCAGGAGACCTGGGCCTGGCTTGTTTACCGCAGGGCCTGCCAAACCCATGCAGTGTAGCCCAGTTCCTGCCAGCAGAGGGCAGCACCGCCCATCCTCTTCACATGCCATTGCTGGACACAGATGGGAAATCCGTATCCAGTCTGAGCATTGGGGGCTGCCCCCCTGGCCTGAGCAGGGGCAGGGTTACAGGGAAGCCCGGCTCAAGCTCTCTGTGTGGGGAGGAAGCAGTGGGGCAAGACAATGGGCAAATTAAGTCGCCTACAAGTTAAGCCGCTGCAGAGCCCCATACAACCTTCTGCTGTTCTGCAGACCCCCTTTCGACTGGCCCAGTGTAGCTGGGTCACTGCCCATAGACCCAGAACCATACAGGGGAGACCTACCCCTTCTCTCTGGGGGAACTGGTGCTTCTCAGAGCCCCTGCCATGAGGCTTTGGGGAAAAACTGCAGAAAGGAACGAGCTAGAGACTCCAGCCGGGAGCAGCAGGGGACTCTGCAGCAGACTGGACTTTCCTCCCACCCTCTTCCTCTCTGCTCCCCCCTCCCTTCCTAAACCCACCCAAATAAAATCATGGCCCGAACCTGCCCTTTGATGCCATCACCTTGTTCACGCTCCACCCTTGCCCCAGCCTGGCTCTGTCCGGTCTTATTCAATTGTCCACATGGAAGGGCAGACTGCTACCACTTGTACAGCCCCTGGCACAATGCCATCCCCTATAATAAATATGATTAACAACAATAAAGGGAGTCTAGATCAATCCTTTAAATCTGGCCCACAGTGGAAGAACAGCTTGGGCTATGCTTCCTTATGCACTTAGGGTAGCTTGGGAGGTTACCAGTAGAAAGTCAGGTCCTGTCTTGGCTACCATAGATGATGCTGTGGATAACTGGAGAACCAGGAGGTGTAAGTCAGACACTGGGAAGGGACACCATGTTGGAAAAGGCCTAGTTCACAGCAGTCATCCTAGAGCAGGGATAGGCACCTGTGGCACGCGAGCTGATTTTCAGTGGCACTCACACTGCCCGGGTCCTGGCCACTGGTCCGGGGGGCTCTGCATTTTAATTTAATTTTAAATGAAGCTTCTTAAACATTTTAAAAACCTTATTTACTTTACATACGATAGTTTAGTTCTATGTTATAGACTTCTAGAAAGAGACCTTCTAAAAACGTTAAAATGTATGACTGGCACATGAAACGTTAAATTAGAGTGAATAAATGAAGACTCGGCACACCCCTTCTGAAAGGTTGCCGAGCCCTGGGCTAGAGGCGCTCCTCTTCCAACCCCAACAGAACAAGACTGGATCGGGCCGGTATTTAAAGGACAACAGTCAAATGGAAGCAGTAGTGTGGAAAAAAAAGGAGAAAGAAAACAATCTTTATTCATCTCTAAGCAGTACACAAGGGCAGCGCCGTCCCTCCTGCTGTCACCTGCTCGCCAACTTTCACCTGCAGTCATCCAGGGTGCAGCCAGCAGTTTAATGATTCTCATGCTCTGCTGTGCCAAAGCCCATGCAAGTGAGTGGAGGCAGATTCCAGGCCCCCGGAGGCTGCAAGCCAAGGCGGGTGCCGGCTTTCGGAGACTTGCTCGCACTGGGTGATTGTGCAGCATTGGATTTCCCTAGGATGGGGGAGAGGGAAGGCTCAGGGGCTGGCTCCAGGGGAGGCAGCCTCGGGCAGGAAAGCAGGCGGGAACCATATGGCTGGGCCAACCTGACTCAGCGCAGATGGGAAGTGAAGCCCAGCCGTGGCACAATCGGCAGCTGGTCCCATATCCAATAGCCCAGGGACTGCATGAACCAGCGTTCCCTGCTTTTTCCGCGTGCTAGGACCTGGTTCTTTACTCTGTCTTTATTGACCTCCCCTCCCCCACATACTGCCTATGATGCCCATCATCTGAGGGTTAGCTCACTGCTCCCCCTCACCTCCGCTGCCAGCCTAAAGTAAGGGGGCCCTGGCACAGGCCCTATTGGGGCCCCGCAGACCAGCCACAGCAGCAGAGCCTGCCTGTTCTGAGGCCACGCTAGGAGGGTCACAGCGTACAAAGCACAAACACACCCGTGGACAGTCTTGTTTTATTGTTTACACAGTCAAGACTATAGACACATTTTAGAGTTACAGTCATTGCAGCATTGAGGACAGACACTGCCACCACCCGCGCCGAGCGCCCTTGAGAGCAGCACTGCCCCTGCAGGGCTCCTACCAGCAATTCCTTTGGCATTGTGTACTTTGGACGTGCACCTGCATCCCCGTCCCCATCCGTCTCAGGGACAGTGGGGAGATCTCAGCCCAAGGACCGGTCTAGGGATTTGTTCATGCTTCCAAAAGGCTGAAGCAGATTCAGATAGACCTGTACCCAACCTTCCTGCACCCACAGGCACTGATCTGTGGCCAGTGTAAGCCACACTCCGCTGCTCCTACACGCAGGTACCTTCTGGAGATGGAAATTCTTGTCTCCAGGGATAACTTTCAAGCCCAACAGGTGATGAGGAGACCTGCAGTCCCCCCAGCAGAGTCTGCCTGAGAATCACGGAGCTGCCACTACCGTTACTCTTGCTTCAAATTGTGCTTCCATCTCCCCGGGACTGGGATGGCAAAGATCCACTGAAATCCAGGGTCAGTACTGACCGGGGCGGGACCCAAGCCTGAGGAGTGCTATATCACCGTAGCAGCTATGGGGCCTAAGCAAGGCTCAGACCCCAGTGGGGGATGCCCCTCAAATCACCACCCCCAGGATTCAGTTATCCCCCATATTGGGCCTTTTCTCACCCCCTTCTGGAACAAAGGGGCTGGAGTCTCTGCCCAGGTCACGCTGGTGAGAGGCAGCTGGCGCAGGCCAGCCCAGGTGGGAGCATGCCCCTGCAAAGCCCTACCTGTGTTACTGCGGGCTGGATCCGACCCTGGATCTGGGGGCATAGCCGCTGGTTCTTGGAGCTGGGATGCCCTAGAATTATTTCCAAGGCAACGGCAGAATGGGTCTATCCTTCGGGGGGAAATTATGGGCAGGCCTTGGAGGACTAGCAACAGATACCTCCAGCTGTGCTAGCTGGCCCAACCTTAGAGCAAACTGGGCCAGAGGGTGTTGTAGGTGGCTGGGCTAAAACCCAGGTTATCTGCCTCCCCTGAGGGAAGGAGACTGGCTGAAGGTCACCGTGAAGCTAGGGCAGAGGTCAAGAGGCCCATGCTACAGCCCAAAGACAGCCGCGCTACCGGCAGTACCGCTTGTGCCTCTAGAGCCGGCTCACCCGCAGCTCCGGTTTCTTCCCTCACCTGGAGTAATGATCCTGCCTGCCACTGGTTGGTTGCCATGGAGACGGCTGCCAGAGGAACACTTGGCACAAAGCCACTTAATGCCCTGAAGCGCCTGTTTCGTGCCAATGTCCCCAGCAGCGAGAGCAGCATTAAAAATATTCCCGCCCCAGCAAAGGGAGTTCACACGGGGATCAGCCGGGGCTTGTTCTCACCAGCGAGCGGCTCGGTTCTCCCAACACCCCCCACTGAACCCTCAACTCAGCCTGAGTCCTGAGAGGGCAAACGAAGGGCCTCCAAAAGCCCAAGTAAAACCAGCGTTAAAGAACCAGCTTGAGTAACAGAAACGCTCATCCCCTGGCCTAGCGGGGAATCAGCCAGAGACACTGGGTCAGTAACAGCACATGGAGCCGGCAGAGCGGGCAATCACATCCAAGATCCGGCCAGTATTGCAAACACCCTCCCCTGTCAGATCTACCGAGGGGCCTGGTATCTTCTCCCAGCCTGCCCCCCATCTGTTTAAAACGGGGTCGGACCGTGATGCCAAGAGCAAACCCATCCCCCTCTCGTGATTCCTCACCCCAAAGTCTCTGGGGAAAATACAGCAGAGATTCAAACGGACCAACTCACCGGACTGTGGCTGTGGCTGAGGTCAATACTTAAGCGCTACCAGGGCCTGACAGCTCCCAGAACGGCTTGCTGGGGAACGGAACAGAACAAGCCATTCGCCCCCAAGAACAGCCCCAGATCAGAGCCCCCCACGGCTGGTCGTGGCACAGGCGAGAGCAGCAGGTTCCAGCTGGCCTCGGAACAGCCCTGCAGGATTTGGGTCTACAAGGCTAAGGAGTGAATGAGGCCAGAGGAACCGCAGCCTGTCCGAGGTTATGCTGAAGAGCCAGAGGGTTGACACATCAGCACTGAGCTGTAACCCTTGGCTGGGGTGTCCAGCCCAAGAAGCAGGGCTTGGAGTCAAATAATTAAGGCAATGCCTAGCTGGAGTGTTGACGTACAGGCTTCCCCATCAGTCCAGGATCTGTCCCATCCCCTTTTCATGGTAGATGCCACGTGCAGCCTCCAGTCCACTGGTGCTGTCTAAGGGCTCCCTCCCCTCTAGTCTGGAGAGACCAACTCACTTGTATCGTTTAAATAGCAAAATAAATTACGTCAGCCTGGCTGGAGCAACCAGTTTCTCGGGACACCAAGAGACCGTGGGACACAGACACATGACTCCACACCAACGTCAGCACCGGCTCCTCCGGGACCGGCGTGACAGACAGGACTGGACCACAGCCACACAGACAAAGGCACAAGCTGTTTCACAACCGAGTTGTAGCCACATGGAGAGAATGCGGGGGGATCTCTTCCAGGGACCCCCAGCCGGAGCTCTGGCGGAGCTAGAGTATCAAGTCTTTCAGGCAAGGAGAGGTCAGAGGTCAGGAGGGGCCCGCGAGCCAGCCGGCCTCCACTCGAGCAGCTGAGCGCACAACGGAAAGTGGCGTTACCGGTCGTTCAAGAAACGCCAGATGCTTAAGCACATTTAAAGCACAAGGAGGTCAGTTCTGGTGCTTGCTTGGTCCAGAAAATTAACAGGAAGAGGGCAGGGGTGGGAGGGAAGACCTCAGAAGGTCAGAGGCAAGGAGTGATTCAAGAGGCCCCTGAGCCAGCACAGGCTGCAGCCAGCGTCAGGAGAATGGGATTGACATAGAAAAGGAATAAGAGGTGGGGCTGGGAGCCCAGCCTAGATTCCAGCTCCCTCAACACGAGTCAGATTGGTGGGTGTCAGGGGGTCACTCTAGAGAGCTGTCAGAATTGTCTCGAGCTAATCAGCCCCCTCACAGAGATTGCCTCGGCCCAGGAGGTTCAAGGTTTAAGAAAACCAGAAGTGGCCGTTTCTGCCCTGATTGACACATCTTTAAAAAGGAACCATAAAAAAGGAAAAGTCTCCGACCAGGACCACGCTCCAGGCACTGATTACATCACAGACTCCTTCTCGCAGGAGCCAACGGCAGCCAGCGCGACGGGCCCGTCTCTCTTGATCAGTGGGGAGCCTTCCTCCTCGCCCGGAACCTTGCTGGGGCCCAAGTCCTCAGTCTTGATCTCCATCAGCTCCTCGGCTTCAGCCTTCCCCATTGTCCTCTCTGTGTACACCTGCAGGAGGCCGGCTCCAAAGGCGTCTCCTTCCACGTTGAGGACGGTGCAGGTGCGGTCCCTGAACAAACATAGGAGGATTGGTGGGTGAGCAGACAGGCGACAGCAGGGAGTCAGACACTGCTCCCCAGCTCTGAACCAGGGGCAGGGGCTTCAGTGCCACCGGGAGACGGCAGCCCAGCGCTGCCACAAAGCCCCTGCCCAGCAACCCAGAGCCCTTCACGCAGCTCTTGACCTCTGGTTGGGCTGGATGCTGACTTGGCACAACCGTGGCAGATGCCGCCAGAGGATTTCTAGAGCAGGAGGAATGCTGCACCCCACAGGATACACCCTTGTGCCCCAGGGCACGTCCCATTCAGAGACGGGGATTTGCTCCGAGCTGGTCCCACTCAATCAGGCTTTTTAGCTGCTAGGCCCAGAGTGTTCAGACATGGGGAAGTAGCACCGAGACCACTAACCAGGCCAGCTAGTTCCCTAGCTCACCTTGGACAGGAGCCAGCAGCAGCCTCCTCGCACTGATCATGCCCACGATCGAGACTCTCTTCCCCGTCCTGACCTACCCACTCCCCTCCCGTGCCTGGTTACATGCAAGGGCAACCTCACAGGCATCTGCCCCAAAGGCTGCTCTCGTGGGAGACTAACCCACGCACCCCCTTGCTTCAGCTGCCCACTGGCAAAGCGGCACTGCACTGTGCCGCGGGGCTTGTCTACGTGGCACCGTCCCTTCCCCTTTGGAAGCAGGGGCGGCTGCGCGGCAGGCGAATGCAGCAACCGCAGCCTTGCAGAAGCTGAGCTGCAGGCTGGCCAAAGGAACAGCCCCGTCCAAGCGGAGACAGCCTACGGGGAGTGCAGTCTTGTGTCACTTTGCCCAGGGCTCTCCCCGTGCGAGACTGCTCTCAGCTGGTTTAACGTGCTCTGCTGAGGCTGCAGAAATGTAGGGGGCCCCCGGGAAGCGGATTCCCACGGACCCAGCCAGCCGGCCCATTCCAGGCAGCTGCACCCGCCGAGCCCATCAGACAGATCTGTCTGTTCTACCCCGTACAGCCCATGTGAGTGTCTTTGCCCCCCTGTCCTGCCCTTACACAAGCCAGTCCACAGCCAGGATGAGGGAGATGTCGTTTGTCGGCAGCCCAACGGCTTCCAGGATGATGGCGAGGGTGAGGACGCCACCGGCAGGGATCCCCGCTGCCCCCACGCTGGAGGCTGTAGCTGTGACACTGCAGGGCAGAGAGAGAGATCAGACACGTCACCAGTGCAGCAGGGGTGCTCTTACATAGCACTTTTCACTGGTGGATCTCAAAGCACTTCACAATGTAACTCACTTAACCTCACAACCCCCCTCCCCCGGTGGGGCGGGGCGGGGCAGGGCTCTTATTCCCATTGTGCAGATGGGGAAACTGAGGCACGCAGGGGCCAAGTGACTTGCCCAAGGTCCCACAGTCTGTAGTGGAGCTGAGACTTGAACCCAGGTATCCAAGTCCTTGGGTAGTGCCCTAACCACCTGATCCTTGAGTTAAGGAGTACGTGGCCAACGGATGTGTGTCAGCACCGCTCAGAGAAGGGACCTCCCAGCAGCACAACCAGCCAGTGACAGGCCCCACGCCAGCCAGCAAAGCCAAGGGCAGAGTGAGCTCTTCCCCTTCCACCCACTGCTGGGGAGGAGCGTGGGCAGCATCTCTCGACTAAGGAGGAAGAATCCGGCTCTAATGAGCCACGGGACAATCACGGGACACTCTGATCACTGACCCTCTGGTCACCTTGTGTGATCTGTACTGGATGGATCAGCATGGCTGAACGCCCCGCACTCAGAGGCAACGGCATATCCCAGTCTGACTCAGTGCCCACGCTTGGAGGGGGGTTCGGGGCTGGGTGAAGTGAAAGCTCCTACGACAACAGCTCGTCTGTGCCTTAGCTCAGACAGCGACTATATCCCAAACATCGCCCCAGCAGTGTTTGCACTGGGGAAACGCAGACACAACCCAGGCATGAAGGCCGCCTTTTAAGAGCACGGGGTGCCGGGGGGAGGGGAGGGGGAGAGGCGGCGGAGCTGGGCCCCTCAAACCCCTGGATTTCCAAGACCTGGGAGTTCTGCAGAGGCAGGACATTCAGCCTCTTGGCTGCTAACCCTTGTAACTCGCACTGGTTAGTGCCAGGGCTCAGCTACTCATTCACTGTGCTCAGTTATAAAACAGAAGCAACTTCCTGCTGTGAGCCAGCGTCACGTGAATCTCCCCTGGTCTTGGCAGCAAGCTCATGACTCCATTTTTCCTATGTGAGGCAGGCAGGGAGATTCCCAGTTTCCTGCAGAAAGCCACAAGAGGAAGGGGAACAGCCGGGTGGGGCCAGACAACGGGGCCTAGCAGTTAGATCAAGAACCTGGGAGTCAAGGACTCTCGCCTCTGGACAGAAGCATGGTCTCGTATGGAGACAGGACTCCTGGGTTCTAGTCCAAGCCCCGCCACCGCTTGGCAAGTCCCATCACCTCCCTGTGCCTCAGGACCCCACTCGCCCCTGTGTAAGCCAGGGCTAATAACCAGCCCAGCTCTCGGAGTGGGGTGGGGCAGATTCTGTGACTCAGTGTTTTAGCGCCAGAGCAGGGTGCGGGCTGCTCCACTCACAGGATGGTGATGACCTGGATGAAGTTGAGCGGGATGTTGTTCAGCTGGGCGATGAAGACGGCCGCCACGCACTGGAAGAGGGCAGCCCCGTCCATGTTGACCGTGGCCCCGATGGGCAGGATGAAGCGGCTGATGTGCTTGGAGACGCCGTTGTTTTCCTCAACGCACTTCATCATCAGCGGCAGCGTGGCAGAGCTGTGGAGAGATCAGCGCGCGTACGCTGAGTACTCATGCATCAGCCCAGCTAGGCCTTGAGCCGGGTGTGTACGTAAGGGTGGGCAGCCAATGCAGAACTTCCTAATAGATCCACAGGCCCCCTTCCCTGTGGGAGAAGGGCACCCATAGGCTACGCTACAAATGGGAAACAGCTCCCACCAAGTTCGTTACCTCCTTGGTCTAGATGTTCTGCTGTGCAGCAGCCAAAGCCAGGTGCTCCACAGGAGAATGAATGCACCTCACTTACATAAATAAAAAATATAAATGAATGGAGATCTCCCATCTCCTAGAACTGGAAGGGACCTTGAAAGGTCATCGAGTCCAGCCCCCTGCCTTCACTAGCAGGACCAAGTACAGAGCCAGGGCCTCCCTGATCTGCTGGAAGCCTCCCTACGAGAGGTTTACTCAAGCCCCATAGCTCCTGTGCCCACAGCTAGCATTGCAATACCTGGAGGAGGTGCCGAAGGCAGTGGCCAGCGCTGTGAAGATGCCCCAGAGGAACCTGTAGGGGTTCTTGCGTGTGAAGATGAAGTAGATAACTGGGAGGAGGATGAAGCCGTGGATGAAGTGCCCTAAGACACAGCAGCAGATGTACTTGCCCAGGCTGGTGAAGAGGACCACCACGTCCTCCATCTCCACAATCTTGCCAGCCACCAGGAACATGATACCAAGGGGAGCGTACCTAAGGGCAGGAGAGACCAGTGAAGACAGGGAGACCCCCCCCATAGCCAGGTTGGCATTTATCCTCATTTTGTAGATGGGAAAAGCCAGGTTAAGTGTTTTGCCCCAGATCTGCATGCAGTGGCCAAGCCAGGATGAGAACCCAGGAGTCCTGGCTCCCAGGCTCAGATCCTCAAAGATATTCAAGCTCCTAACTTCCACCGAAATCTGGGCTGAATCCCTTTCTTAGTTCATGCTACCTCTCATAGGTCAGGAGGAATCCACATCTCCTGAAACAAGTCTGCCCAGCACATGCTGCTCAGGAGTGGAGAGAAGGTTACATCAGAATGGCCATACTGGGTCAGACCAAGAGTCCACATAGCCTAGTATCCTGTCTTCTGACAGTGGCCAACACCAAATGCTTCAGAGGGAATGAACAGAACAGTGCAGTTATCAAGTGATCCATCCCATTATCCAGTCTCAGCTTCTGGCAGTCAGAGGTTTAGGGACACCCAGAACACAGGGTTGTGCCCGTGACCATATTGGCTAGTAGGCATCGATGGACCTATCCTCCAGGAACTTCTCTCATTCTTTTTTGAACCCAGTTATACTTTTGGCCTTCACAGCATCCCCTGGCAAGGAGTTCCACAGGTTGACTATGCATTGGGTGAAGAGGTACTTCCTTTTGTTTGTTTTAAACCTGCTGCCTATTAATATCATTGGGCGACTGCCTGGTTCTTGTGTCACGTGAAGAGGTAAATAATACATCCTTATCCACTTTCTCCACACCATTCATGATTTTTCAGACCTCTATCATTTCTCCCCTTAGTCATTTCTCAGCCTCAGTCAAGCTTTTTAATCTCTCCTCGTATGGAAGCTGTTCCACTCCCCCAATCATTTTTGTTGCCCATCTCTGTACCTTTTCTAAGTCTAATATATCTTTTTTGAGATGGGGCGACCAGAACTGCATGCAACAGTCAAGGTGTGGGCGTACCATGGATTTATATAGTGGCATTATGATATTTTCTGTCTGATTATCTATCCCTTTCCCAACATTTTGACTGCAGCTGCACATTGAGCAGATGTTTTCAGAGAACTATCCACAATGACTCCAAGATCTCTTTCTTGAGTGGTGACAACTAATTTAGACCCCTATCATTTTGTATGTATAGTTGGGATTATGTTTTCCAACACGCTTTACTTTGCATTTATCAACACTAAAGTTCATCTGCCATTTTGATACCCAGTCACCCAGTTTTGTGAGATCCTTTTGTATCTCTTTGCAGTCTGCTATGGACGTAAGTGTCTTGAGGAATTTTGTATCATCTGCAAATTTTGCCACCTCACTGATCATTCCCTTTTCCAGATCATTTATGAAGGTGTTGAACAGCACTGGTCCCAGTACCAACCCCTGGGGGACTCCGGTATTTACCCTTCCTCCACTGTGACAACTGACCATTTATTCCTACCCTTTGTTTTCTGTCTTTTAACCACTTACTGATCCACGAGAGGCCTTTCCCTCTTATCCATGACACCTTACATTGCCCAAGAACCTTTGGTGAGGGACCTTGTCAAAGGCTTTCTGAAAGTCCAAATACAACAAGAGGACTCAGCATGGCAGGATCCCAGAAGAGGTGGATAAGCAGTCCAGCCATAGCCAGGAGGACTTTTGCTGATCCTTGCTGTCCACTCCTCAAGCCCAGAGAGAGGATTCTATTTATTGCTCTTTCCGGTCCAGAGATGCGCGCACCAGACCCTTCCAGAAGCAAAGAACCCCACAATCCACTAATGCATTCAGCTAGGGAAAAAACTCCCATGATCTTTCCACTCCCATCTCACACTACACCATGGCGTTTCCAATACAGCAAGTCATTTACCCATCTCCCAACAACAGAGGAAGAACAGGAATGTCCAGCCGCTAAAAAGAGGCAGAACTGGGTGTAAGCACCAATGCGTAGTCACCGCTGCACCTGGCATATTGGCACACCGGGAAAGAAAGTGCCAACAACCGTGTCCAAGAGCATCTGCGGTATAATATTACGCCCCCGGCATGTGTCTGACCCAAGATCAGTAGAGCAGGGCCAGGTTCTATTTGTGGCTCTGCAGATGACTCTGCCACCCTGGATGAATCACTTGACATCTCCCTTTTTGTAGTCAGGCTCACATCCAGGTCTCGGAGGGCCTGAGAGCAAGGCACTAACTGTACGTACTGGTGAGTGAGCCCAGCTCTTCCAGAAGGAGGATGTTAACAAATTAGCACTGAGCCAAGTGGAATGGTTTCCATGTTAAAGAATTAGCACCGACCCAAGTGGAATGGTCTCCATTACAGCACAGAATCACCACACAGCTCTATCTGAGCAGCTTGGTAGATTCCCATCACCAGCTCATCTAGCCCCATAATTATCCCCACAGGCCTTTGCACCCACCCCCCACAGCTCTGGCTATCTACCCAGGGCGACGCACTACAGGAGACAGTCTTATCGCCCAGTTACCAGTCACTGCCCACCCCTCACCGAATCAACCCCCTTCTCCCCCAATGGGTGCAACTAGCTGCCCTTTCATACCACATGATCCAGGCGACCAGCACCATGGTGGCTTCATTGAAGGAGTTGAAGAACTTTATGAGGTTCTCCCCCTCGGGCCCAAGCTTCCGCAGAGCGATCCCAAAGACGATGGCAAAAACCACCAAACCCAGGATGTTCATCCCTTCCACCTCATCTCCCAGGGGAACCTGAGCAGAGAAGAGGTCAACATTTGTCGTCAACATTTGTCATCAGAGGAACAAGGTAGCTCAGAGAAGACAACAGACCAGGGAACAGAGAAAGGCTCTAGCTATTTGCGGCTCCTTGACAGGCGTGAGTTTGGCAAGAAAGGAGAGCCTTGTAGAACTTTAGCCATCAGTACTTTAAGGTCCCAGAAGGCTGGAGAACCTGGAGAGGTGACCTCCCTGCATTTGTGAGATACAGAAACATGCATTGCCTGGGTCTTGTCTTTGCGATCCTCTGCCCAGCACTCACACTACTGAACAGATGTCTGTACAGTCATGAGCCTCCATAGCGGACCATGCTGGGTGGCCTCTCCAGGAATAAGGGAGATGGTCTGGATAGCATTTGTGAAGGTTGGTGTCATACACAGAGTCCTTCCATGACCACTGGACTGAGGACAAGGGGGAGCAATGGGAATGGCCTGTTCTCAGATTCATGTTGTTAGCACATACCTATCCAGTCACCATCCAATTTTTAAAAATACGGGGCTTCATCTTTGGGAGATAGCACCTTGTCTGTACTAAGGAGGCCTGTCTGGCTCTCCCAGGGGTTCCTTGGACACGGCTGGGAAGGGAACAGAGCAGGACGCAAAGCCTCTAGTTCTGAGAGACTACTACGTCCAGGCCATGAAGAAGCTCCCTGCAATTATGTCCTATTCCAGAGCAATGGAGAAGAGGCCGATGGGGCACCAGCAGTGTCCTAGTCACAGACAAGGAGGAAGCAGGGGTGGGTCTGCAGAGTTCCCATCTGGACAGGACTCTTAGCACCAACTATAACCGCAGCATAATTGCCACAAATGAATTTGGGGCAAAAATCTAACTGTGGATTGGTCCTGCTGTGAGCAGGGGGTTGGACTAGATGACCTCCTGAGGTCCCTTCCAACCCTGATATTCTATGATTCTATGATTCCAAGGCCCCTCCAATCCAAACAGAGACAACAGCTTAGCGGATTTAGATGGTCCCACCCCAACTGGGCCTCACCACTAACCAATCCCGTATGAGCAAACAGGACGGACTCAGGCCAGCCTAGTCTCTGGCTCTGCTGTAAAGCAGAGGCCTCCGTGTGCAGCTTCTGACATGGGGTTGGGATGACAGCAGTTTCACCTGCTCCCTGTGTTCTTAGCAGCAGAGGCAAGGCTGAAGGTTCATCTCAGCAGGGATCAGACCAGAGCGGCTTGTAGCAGCACCGTTCCCCAGGATGAGGTTCTTACCTTCTCCTCTGTGATGGTTTCATTGAAGACTCCCAGGTCATCGGTGACATTCTTCCTGATCACCACTAGCTTGTAGTGGGTAGCATACTGGAGAGACAAAAGGGGAGATAAACTGCTTCAGCCATGTCTTATGATTAACCCCACACAGTTTGGGGGCCTACAAGATGGGCTGAGATGGAAAAACCCACCCAACGTTGTTTAATGGCCAACAGGGTTGGGGAGTGTGCGCGCTTGGTATGAAGTTATAGGTCACACGGTACAGCGTAGTGACCAGTTACACTTTAGTTACACTGCAATTACAACTATAACCACAGCATAATTGCCACAAATGAATATAACCCAAAGGTTAGCGCGGTGACAGATTTGCTTATGATCCCCTTGTTCCATTAGCAATAACTGCACCTGCCAAACTACACTGTATGTACACCCTGCAATTACCGCAATGCTTACACTGAAGCCTTCACCTGCTACCCAGATCCTATAATCAGGTGTTTAGCCGGAGCTTGCCAGTTCCCGGGTGTATTTTTAGAATCCATGTGCATTAAATGCACTGCAGTGTGAGCAGGCAGAGTTCCCACACAATGGAGAAGGGCGAATTTACATCCCCATCTGGGATTTGCCTTGGTTGTTAACATAATTCTCAGCCTGAGTTCCCCCACCACCCCAGCTTAGCTCTCCTTTAAGGGCTCTCTCCCTCTCTAAAGGGCACACACTGATTGTCCTTTTTCAGTCTCAGGAGGCCATCAGATACCATGGCAGACCCATTACAAGAACCTGGGGAGATTGAGCGCCACTTGGATCTACCTGATCCTAATTCCGAGTGACTCAGCAAAACCACCACTGTCTCTCTAGAGCAGGCATTATGCACCCAACATCATGTTCGTTTATTCTTTTCCCAGAGGCCCCACTGTGCTAGGCGCTGTATAAACATATTGAGGGCACTTCTCGCCCACGCTAAGCCCAGGGCCGGCTCCAGGGCACCAGCACAGCAAGCAGGTGCTTGGGGCAGCCAACCGAGAGGGTCGGCAGGTCTAGGTCCTCGGCGGTAATTCGGCGGCGGGTACCTCACTCCCTCTTGGAGCGAAGGACCAGCCGCTGAATTGTCGCTGAAGACTGAAGCAGCGGCGGTAGAGCAGATCGCGATCGCGGCTTTTTTTCTTTTCTTTTTGCTGCTTGGGGCGGCAAAAACCCTGGAGCCGGCGCTGGCTAAGTCTATGGAAGGCAGCTCTTGAGAGTCCTGCAATACTCCATGAGAGTCAGTAGGTTCCATCTACACTACTGACCTGTGAAGGGACTGTTCTGCCCCCAACCCGGAGGATATCTGCAGTGCAGGCGGCACTAGGACGGTGTCCTACACTCGGACAAACAGCCCAAGGACAGTTTCTAGAACGGTTATTAAAGGGAGACCTGCGGGACACAGCGCAGCGCATGGGATGATGCAGCGAGTCACTTACCGAGCGGAACGCCGCCGACACCAGGTTGGAAGGGAAGATGTTCCTGTGGAGAAGGAAAAGGTTTAGACAGCGAAGCTTCAGAGAAATACAAGGTTACTAAATCAGCCCCCTTCGCATTAGAGATCTCAGAGCAAAGGTTTGTCTATACAGGAAAGTTAAATCAATCTCGTTTGTTCACTCTAAGTACCCTGAATTAACTGTATAGAACTGAAGGACGCAGCACGGAGCTGTTATGTGGCCTTAAGGTACAACCTCTGTTAATTACTGCAGCCACACAGCTCTGCCGTTGTTCAAATGAAGCAGGAAGCGTTCTGGGCAGCTGTCCCCATACTGCCAACTTCTACCGCTCAACTCAATGCTCTAGGATTTTTCTCACGGTGCATTGTGGGAAGCTTCCCAGAACCTAGAGGAATTCTGGGACTTGGGGAAGGAGATTGGAGAAATACCGATGATTCCTCTCCTACCATCCCATAATCCATCTGCATTTTGCCAGCGCCATTTTCAAACTGCTAATCAGACCGCCCTGGGGACACACGGAGCGCAGAGCTCATGTCAGGATGAGGCATGTGTATTGGCAGTCACTCAGCCGACAGGCCTGGGTCAGGAGCTTTGGATGCGCAGTGATACAGCCACTGAGGGGGAGAAGAGGAAATCTAGCCGTTACTCCAGCAGGGCATTTAACCGGAGCAGCCTTACTGAGTGCAGAGCTGTTTTTGGGCTTGGTCAACTAGCGCAGATGGAGGAGGACAGGATAGTGCTGCTCAATGGGGCTGACCAACAGTAGCTGCAGCAGGCTACGGTCCTCGAGATCTCTGCAGAGCTCACCCTGGAGCAGCAAAAGCCCAACATGAGAATTCCCCTCTGCACAGAGAAGTGTTGGGCCATTTGGAAGCTCACCTTCCCCCCCCCTCCCCCCCCGCTGCTAGTGGTCACTTAGTGATCTGGAGTTTTGTTTTGGGGGTGGGGGAAGAGAAATCAACTGCTTGGGCTGGTCTTGTGGAGGTGTGCAAGGCTATTAAGAGGATGCTTCTGCCCCAGGTCAAAGTTTGGCAATGCCTGTGCATGGGTGGGGGGCCTGCATGGTACAGGGGCGATTGCTAAGAGATCAGTGCCTTTTCTTTGCACCACCCACACATCCCAGGCCAGAGATTTTGATGAAAATGGTGCTGCAAAATGACAGTGGCACATGCGTTTGGAAGAGCGAAGGGAAAGCAGTCCTGGCACCGCACCAGGCTGGCTATTTCTCCTCATTGCATGCCTTGTGCAGAACATGGCAAATACTCATCACAAAACATCCATGAGCCAGGGAAGAGAGCCTGGACAAGAAGTGGAGAGAATTTCTGAACATTATAGACAACCTCTGAGAAAACATGTCCCAAGCGTTCAAGGAAACAGGAGCAGTGATGCAATTGTGCTCCTACAGTGAGGCCAAGGGTTAGTTTGGGGGTAATGAATGTGCTGCAACTAAAACAGTGACTCATGTGTTTGTGCACTGGTTTTTATTAGGAACTCATAGGATGGAGGGATGTGATGTAAGTGATGTAATAGAATGTCCCAGCCAAGTTGGGCAAAAGGATCCATTGAATTAACAAGTAACGCCCACCACAAAAAACACTACTACTTTAATAAAAGAAACCCAGACAGTTAACCAAGAATGTAGGCCACAGAACTGTGGCACACCCAGCCTATGGGGTGCTCACAATCTCCTGGAGGAGGGGCACTCAGGCCTATCCTTCTGCAGAGGGTTGAGTGAGGTCTTTCCCACACCACAGTCGTCCCAATGTGATGTGTTCCACATCGTTGGCAGGGCAAGACTTAGGGGTAGTGCTTGACCTTTGCTACAAAAAAATCTCTATCATGTCCCTTTCCAGGGCCGCACACTCTCCTGTGAGCCTCCACCATTCTGCCTTCATAGGCTGCAGGCACTGGTTCCCTGAATGTTTCCTCTTGTCTCTTCCTCATCATTGGAGATTTGAGCTAATTTTATTGGTGCCAGGACCCCGCATGCACAGGCCACGGGAACCAGCTGCTCAGGGCAATCCGAATGATCACATTTATTCTCCCACTGCTAGTCCCCATACCAATAGTGAGAAAACATTGTTTCTCCCTCTGCTTTCAGAACGCCCTTCCCCCCGCTTCTCTTCCCACTTGTATAGCACCCATGTAGCAGTGCTGGGTAGGGGGGCAGGTTAGTGGTAGCCTGCGGGGGTGCTTATCCCATCCTTATGTTGGAGAACTGGCCTCAGGCAGTCTTGTTCTAGAAGGCAATGGGCAAACCTAGGAGAGATGCAGCACTGCTATTCCTGAGGATAGGGTCTGCCCAGCTGCTGCAGGAATGGAAGGGGACCACAAGCTCTACAGGGTGTAGATGGCCATGAAAAATGTGTGTGCTAAAGCACAGCGTGCCCTGTGCCTTAAATTTTTTTTTTTTTAAATGAACACCTGTAAAAAAATAAACCTTTACAGCAACTAAACACAAAGGTTAACAGCCTGTAGGAAGCAATTGAAAATGCCTTGTGATTCTGGAGGGGCTCCCTAAGCGGATTGCGGCCATTTACCTTATACAGTTTAATTGTATCTTAATTGAAGTGCACTGGAACAACCTGGGACCCACAGTACGGTTCCTGCTGGAGCTGCTGCTACAACAAGCATAAACTGTGTACAGAGGAACCCCCATCATGGCCCTGGCTGGGGTATTTGCTATTTTATAGCTTTAAGTCTCTGGCACAGGTGCCCTTTTGAGCATGGAGGAGGACAGGGATGATAACTTCTCTCTGGCGGTTTGTCTTCTAACTCTGCTCAGCTTGGCAGAGGACAGCTGATACCCAGAAGAGAGCTGTTTAACATCCCCTAGACAGTTGTATTGTAACATGGCCCATAATATGGGTACACCTCCCACCCACAACATGGTGAAGCGGACTGCTGGTAGATCTCTCCTCCATGGCAGCTTCAGTCAGGCTGCACACACAGGCTTCTTGTGATCTCTGCATGTGCTGTGTCACACAGTTCTTGTCTACCCAGGAAGACCTCCTCTGGCTTAGACCCCGTGGTGTGGAAAGGACCCTAGACATCTTGGGTATTGTCATGCTGTCTTGGATGCCTTGTAGAAAACCGCTCCTAAGAATGTTGTCACTGGAGTCCAGTCCCATTACCTACCCATGTGATGAGCATTACTGGAAACCCTGTTCTCATCCCTTGCTTTCAGGTACCTCTGACAGAGCCCCTTTGCTCTGGCTGGGCACTGGAACCAGGCCTGGCAGTGCCCCCTCATCTCAGTACCTTGTAGATGTCTGCAGTCCAATGCTGGACATCGCTCTTGCTGGACAGCTGCAATCAAACTCAGGTGGTCTCCAGGAAATACAGGGCATGAACTCACCCCTACCTGGCACTGTAGAGGGGCAAAGCTGGCTGCATGCCACCACTTAGCGTATGCATCCAGTCAAGATGAGCCCAGAGCAGAAGGCAGCACAGACAGGCCAATCCAGATGTGAAGCAGTGCAGTGTGGGATAGCAACAGGAGGAATGCCAGCAGCAGAGTAGTTAGTAATGCATCCATGTGAACCTTAAGCAGACAAACTGGAGTCACTCCTGTTCTAAATAGGATTCATTACAACAGCCTGATCTGGCAACATCCCTCTAGACAAGCCCTGACTCTCACAACCACGGTGAGCTTCTAGCCATTTTACAAAAGCACAGAGATCAAGTGCGTCTTCCAAGGTTGCAGCATCAGCACTGGGGATAGAACTCAGAAGTCCTGAAATGGAGGCTTTGGACCTGACCTGTTTGCATGGCTTTTCGTGTTGCTTGCTAGCAGCATAATACATAAAAGAGCAGGAGCCTGCAACGCTCTTTGTGCTCAGAACTCAGTGACGTCCTTATGAGTTAGGGTAGGGGAGTGGTGGGTGTGCTCCAAGATGAACTCGCACTGGAGTGATAGTCTCACCTGAAAGTCACTAAGAGATGGCACCATGGAACCCCATATTTGTAAGGTCTCCCCTATCCCAGGGGGCTCACTTTACACTTATTACAATAGCACAGAGGTCTCAACTGACTTAGGGAATCCCACTGTGTTGTGACCAGTACCTGCATCTAGCAAGAGGGGAAACCAAGGCACAGGCAGGGGGTGGGGTGAGAAAGAAGAGGAGTGACTTGCCCAAGGTCACCCAGCAAGTCAGTGGCAGATCTGGGACTAGAACCCAGGTCCCAAGTCCCAATCCAGTGGCCTACGCTTCCTCGTTCCTTCTTGTGATCATCAACTATCAGGTTGACTAATTTTCCAAGGGAAGCACATTGTGCTCTGCAGCAATCCTGTTTTTATTGGAGTGGAACAGTTGTGTTATGAGGAGAGTTAGAATCCAGGCTGCTCTGAGTTAACAGGAGTCCTGGGTGCTAAGAACGCCTCCACCTGATGACAGGACCATATTATAAAGGGATTTTTAGTAACAGCCCCCCTGCTCTCCCCCTCCCCCCCCTTTATCAGAGGTTTGGCACAAAGGCAATATTTGTATTTGCCTCACAAGTTGTCCATGGGGCCTTTTCATGTGCCTTTGTTACTTTCATTTAGTAGTGATCTGTCTAATCAGATCATCCACTCCGGTGAGCCACTAGACAACAGAATGACTGTTCCCAGCAGAGTAAATACCAGCTTAGCTGCATATCCTGGAGCATGCTACGCTGCACCTAACCAGTGGTCTCTGGTATCCGGATCCATCACTTCTTTCCCTGACGGTTGCAGTTTCTATTGTTGCCTTTGATAAGCCCTGCTACATGCCACCCATCCATTGGATAAAGGAATTTATGCCTGGCACCCACAAGTTACTTGTGACACCCACCCTATGGGTACACACAATATACATGCCTCTGTCCTCTACACATCTCTATGGGCAAGAGACAACCTCTTTGCTTCTTACCTAGAGCACAGACAACACCAGTGGTCTCACTGGGGAGCTGCTAGGGTTGAGAACACTGCACAGGCCTTTGACACACTAGGTAGATTGGCAAGTTTCTATAGGAATAATTCCTTGGGTCAGTTTCATACAGTTG